TCTGCCACGCCATGTGGTCACCTCCGGGGCAGGCAGGGATCGAACTCATGCGGAATTGGCTTAAGCTTCTTAGTGCAGTGCTTTAACCCGCTGTGCCACCAGGGAGGGCCCACTCTGGCATTCTTGATGAAAAGTTAAAACAAGTTAGGGACTCCCCGGTTGCCTAGGGGATAAGTCTCAGTGATGTTACTGTTATGGCCTGAACTCAAACCCCAGCCTGGAGCTGACCCACACATGGTGCAGCAGACCTCTCTTCTGTTTTGCCTACTGCTCCCCTTATCAGTGTATTGCAGTAAATCTGCCTGTTCACTCCCAACTCTTATCTCTGGTGAATCCTCTCACTCTCGCATCTCTAGCCTACACCCCAGTTCTTCTGCAAAAAGAAAGAAAGAAAGAAGTAAGTTTAACTTTGTACCTGTTACCACTGAGTATGGAGTTGATATACAAAGTAGTAACTGTGGGCCAACAAGAAAAGGTTAAAATATGTTCATTAATATTAATAAGAAAAAGAATGCAGTTTAGAAAGATTAAAGTGTTTAAAGTTTTATTCATACAAGGATTACCTCAGTTATCTGGAAAATTAACTTAGTGCTTCTTAAAATAAATTACTGTATTATATTGAGGTTATTACAAAAAGAATTTTCTAAAATATGTAAATATACTCCAGTCTGTTTTGATGCCTAGAAACTGCATGTATATATTCCAGATAGAACATATACTCATGGTAATTTTAAAATCCATAGAAATATGAAGCAAAGCAAAAGGTTGGTTTGCTGGAACATTAAATACAGCATACAAATTAGCAAAGAAAGACTATGCAAATAAAATGCTTATAGATTACTTATCACATATTTCTTCATTATTTCTGTAAGTGCATCTCATGATATATGTTATCAGAGTCATTGCTATTTAATCTTTTTTTCCTGTTGATTGCCTCTTTCAGGACCATGGTTTGTTGGCGAAATCATTACAGGCAAATTGGGTTGCTGCTTTTCCTTTGGGATCTTTGTCAGTGGGCATTTCCTACAAGGAAGCCTAACATATATAGTTGGAATTCTCCAGGTAAGAAGTCAGAAATGTAATTTAGGAACATCTTGGCTTTGTTGGACTAATTGACAGTATGAATTAAATCCAAAAGCCAAAATTAAACATAGACCATATTTCCTAGTTTACTGGCAAGGCAGTCTTTAACTGTGTGTTTGCATACTCCTTTAGAATGCTTTTTCTGCTATCACTCGTTAATACACATTTTTGACAATAGGTTTTATAAGGGGTTTTGTTTTTGTTTGTTTCATTGTGCCTTTTCATCAGTGAAAATCAAATAAGGGATTTATGGTAGGATAAATGATAGACTTCTGAGTAACCCAAGATTCATTAGGAGAGGAGAATACTGTGTCAGAAGGAGGAAAGATAATTTAGAAACATAAGAAAAGTGAGTCAGTTAACCAATGGGAGGTATCCTGGGCAAAAACTGGACTTTAGCTTTTTAGTTACACACTTGTTTAATAGACACTGATTGGTTTTACATTTGGATTGAATCCTTTAAAACAAACACATAAATGAGCCCTCCCTGGTGGCTCAAAAGGTTAGGATGCAGCCCTACAAGCTGGCCACAGCTGCCTCAATGCGAGTTCTATCCCCTGTCCTGGAGGTAATCCTCATGGTACAGCAGACCTCTCCTGACCCACCCTCTGCTCCCCTGAGCAGTGTACTTCGTCAATTTGCCTGTTCTACACCCAGCTCTGTCTCTGGTGAATCCTCTCACTGCCCCTGTACCTCACCTATACCCCAGTTCTGTATGCATAAATAATTACATCTTTAAAATAAAACAAACACAGAAGCAAAATCTGACTCAGCAAGTCTCCATAAATAGTTTTGAAACGTCCTTACATAATTATTTATTTATTAACTCACCTAGTGGGGGCTAATGGACCAAAATCTAAAATGAGAATCTGAAATTTTGGAAGCGATCCAAAAACATTACTCAGAAAGCGTTTACAATCAGGGCAGGAGTGTCATAACATGATTAACAGAGACAAATAGGAAAGTTCACCAATCATGAACCAGAAGATTCTTTGTGTAGCATCATTTTGCACGTGAGTAGGTCTTTAGGTATAGTTTAGTTTTCTAATATGTAGGTGGAGGCTGTCTCTAAGGAACACTATTATACCAAGTAAAACCTGAGACTTGCAAAAGATGGGTTTTATATATCATAAATGCCTATAACCCCTAAATTTGTCTCTGACATAGACCTCTTGTCTGCACTTCAAATACCTATTTATTCAACTGCCATTTCACATCTTCTCTTAGATATCTAGACATGTTAACTTAGAATTATGAAATAATAGAACTTTTAATTTTACCCCCAAACTCTTTATTTTCCTGTTCTTTCCATTTTCAATAATGGCTCCACCATTCCCCTAATTTCACTCAGTTCTCCTTTTTCTTTCAGACCCTATATCTAGTTCATAAATAAGAATCTTATTTCACCTACCCTCCTTGAATCCACCACTTCTTTCCATCTCTGTTAACACCTCTAGTTTAAGTCATAATTCTTCTGTGGCCTAACTCCTTAACATGTCTTTCCACTGCTATTCTTGCCTTCCCACTCTCAGTTTACCATAGAGCATCCTCTGTGTTTTCACAAGACTTTAATTAGCTCACTTACTTCTCACTTTAAAATGCTTTAAGCAGAACATTTACATGATTTAGGTCCTGCTCTGATTTCCACCTGGTTTTTCATGTTCCAGGTCCATTGACCTTAAAAAGGCCAAGTCCTGTCCCACCTTTGGACTTTCATTTGTTTCTTTTGCCTGGAATGCACTTCCCGTCATAAATTCCTGTCCTTTGGAACTCTCAGAGCGCATTTCCAAGTCATTCTCTCTTGGTCAAGTTCTTTCTTTCATTGAATTTATCACTGTCTATATTTTCATGTTTATTTTTTAGTTTCTCCCGTTAGAATGCAAACTCTTAAGACATACCCTTTCTGACTTGTTCACTACTATGTCCCTAGTCTTAGTGCCTAGCAAAGTGGCTGCCACATACTGAGTGCTCAATACTTTTTTTAAAAGATTTATTTATTTATGCATACAAGAATTGGGGTACAGGCCAGAGGTGTAGGGAGTGAGAGGATTTACTAAGACAGAGTAGGGAACAGAACAGGTAAATTGACCAAAATACACTGCTGAGGGGAACAGAGGGTGAGACTGGAAAGGTCTGCTGAGCCATGTGGGTCACCTCCCTAGCTGGGGATTGAGCTTGTGCTGCAGTGACTGTGGATAGCTTCACTTCAACCCCTTGTGCCACCAGGGAGGCCCAGGATACTCAGTAACTTCATGGTTAATGAATGAATCAAGCCACCAATAAACTTGGATTATAATGTAGATCTTGTACTTTGTGTTCCAGTACTCATTATGACACTTAAATTTAAAAAACTAGTAAGAAAATTGACACTCAAATTTCCTCCTTGCTTTGCCCCCCCAAAGTGTGTGTATAGTCAGTTCATTTCTACCTGAAATATTAAAGACTTTGACATAAATGAAATGATGCCTGCTTTTCAGATGAGCAAAAAGATACAAGCAAATATACAACTAATTGCAAATCAAAATTTATTGTAAGTAAAGCATAAAGAATCACAGTTAGGGCCCTCCCTGGTGGCGCAGCGGGTTAAAGCACAGCACTGAGAAGCTTAAGCCAGTTCCGCATGAGTTCGATTCCCTCCTACCCCGGAGGTGACCACATGGCGTGGCAGACCTCTCCTGACCCGCCCGCTGCTCCCCTCAGCAGTGTACTTCGTAAATCTGCCTGTTCTGCTCCCCACTCTGTCTCTGGTGAAGCCTCTCGCCGCTCCTGAGCCTCTGGCCTGTACCCCAGTTCTGTATGCACAAATAAATAAATCTTTAAAAAAAAAAATCACAGTTAATCCCCAAGAGAAAAAGCAACATATTCTTAGGGGCTGCTTAATAATGTGTTAATGTGACCCAGTGACCTGGAGTCTCTCCCAAGGACTTGCTAATAGACTAATGGTTTTGTTCTTCTCATTTCAGCTGGCATTTTTTAACATCCCCTTGATGGCTTACTTGTGTTGGAGCTTGCTGCAGCGATGCTTTGGCCACAACTTCAGGTCTCATCTCCGTCAAGGGAAATACTTGAAAATTATACCTGTTCACCTATTTATGTTACTGCTGTACATGTGGCAGATTTATTCCTGCTACTTTCTTCATATGACATATGGCACTGTAGCTCTTTTATTTTCTCCTTTGCGGACCTGGTTGGCACTGTTGACACCTCTTCTCATTCATTCTGTGTGGACACTGAACTCAACCAAGCTTGGAACTTTCATAGGGCAGTTAAAAAGTCACCTGAGTTCCTGAAGACACTGTCTCACGGTCTGCGTTTGCAGCCCTGGCCTCTGCCCCACCAGCAGGTGGAAGGCCAATATTAGTGGGTGAGCTTCTGGGATCAACTGCTCCTTGAATGCATTACATTTGTGGGGATTATCCACTACTGACTGCTGCATAATGGACTGCAGAGAAGTCTAAATAATGCCATGATTCCTTCCTTCCCCAGGAAGGCAAAGGGTTGATTGACTGTGAAGAGAAAGCCTTAATGGGGACATCCTCAGGACAAGGGCTGGGTATGTGTATGGGCATGTCTAAAGTCCAGTGTATTTTTAGAGTTACCTTTTGTAAAATACCTAGCACTGTGTCTGGAACTGAACAACTGTGGGGGGAGGTCGCTGTGCAAACTTGAACCCAGCCCTGACTATCCTTGATAGATTAGCTCCCAATTCTCTTTTCCTACAGGATTATGGGCAATGCTTCCTAGTCGGGGGTGTTTTCAACTAATCGAATAAATGAATGATGAATAAGAAAGAACTCCTACTGCGATATTGGAGGGGGGAGGGATTGGATGTTGGAGTGAGGCGGGCCTGCATCTGCGGGACTGCAGGAGACGCCAGGACGCGAGACTGACAGAAGTGGGCGTGGCCTGACCTCTGGGCGCGGGAGGAGGCGTGGTCAGGCGAGTTGGGGGCGTGGATGTTGTTGCCGGAAGCGAACCGCGGAGTGGATGACGCCGGAAGTGGGTCGCTGTCGCAGTGCGGCAGTGGCGACAGCAGTGACAACCTTTGAGGGCCCCAAGAGAGATGCTAAGATGGCGAGCGCGGCCGCTCCTGCAGCCGCACTCTCCAGCTTGGCCCCCCCTTTGGAGCAGCTCCGGCTCTTAGCGGCAGCGCTGCGGCTGCTCATGTCTGGAGTACGGGGTGAGCTGACGCTTGGGCGGACGGGCCGAGAGACCAAGTCCTGCTTGGGGCGAGGCGGAGAAGTGCTCGCGACCCGAGGCTGTGGCCGGGGCGGAGGGTGGGGGTGGAGGTGGCCCCGGGTGGGGGCGGAGGTGGCCCCGCTTACCTCAACTCTTCTTTCGCTTCTGCTCTCACGTCACTCCGGTTAGTCGGCGAAGCCCGGGAGACAACCAAGGAGTTTAATCGGGAGACATTTTGGAGAAGACTCAGTGAGTGCCTGCCTTCGCCGACTCCCATTTATTCTCCAGCGTCCTGACCCCTTATCCTTCCTCCCACTGTCCCCGCAGCAGCATCCTCTCTGTGGGGTTACCTCACCTTCCCCGTCCTCGGGGAAGGTTGAAATGTAAAAGCAGGTTGAAATGTAAAACATTCAGCTTCGGAGGGTTTTTTCCTGAGACTTCTCAGGCGGTCGGGGCGGCGAGGGAATACATTCTCTTTAGAGCCTGGCAGAAAGCTTCAGCCTGTCCTGTTGGCACTAACACCTGCCTCCTCCTGTCACCCCTTAGATGAGGCAGCTGTGATAGTGTCAAAGGAGGCCACGACTCTGACCGCAGCCTTCTCTCGACTTCCCCTACCGTCTCCACAGGTGGGCTTTGCTTTCCAGGAATCCTTGCACTGCCTGGGTTCCTTGGGAACCCCGCATTTCCACCCCTCCCCTGCCCACCACTTTTGCACTTAAAGCCTGGCGGCTTATTTTTCTCATCTGTCAAATGAGAGTGTGTTGGGGCTTCTCGGGATTGTGAAGACCCATTACATTACCAAGTGCAGTACCTGACAAGACGTAGGCAGGTCTTAGAAATATTAGTTCAGTCTGAAGTTCTTCCTGGCTATTTCCTTTCTTGTAATTATTTTTTTTAAGCACTTACTTTTGCTAGGTGTTGTAACAAACCATGAGCAGGTTCGGAGGCTCAGGTTAAGGTAAACAAACAGTGGAGCTTGGATTTAAATTAGAGCCTATGATGTCTAAACTACACCTTTCCTGCTGCACTAATGAAGACCTTTTTATAGTGAATTTTAAAAATATTTAATCAGTAACACGGGTAGTTAAAATTTAAAAGATAACAAAGCTAAAAGTTTTTGTCTTCCCTCCCCGTTCCTCATTTTTGTCTCCCCTTCCCATTTCCTTTTGTATTATTCAGTACATATGCTATACACAAACTTGTTTATTTAAACTTCCGTGCTTTCTATACAAATAATAGGATACTATAAACATTTTTGTGCACTTTTTAAAAGTAATTAACATAATTGATTAACAACACATATAAGGTTGCTCAGTTCTCTGGTATTTAGTGGAGTGGATATAGCAATAATTTATTTAACCAATACTCTGGATGCTGAAACTGTTTCCAATTTGTAACCATTATAAACAGTGCTGTAATAAATCACCTAATACAATCCTTGTGTGTTTCTGGATATTAGTTTTTCAAAAAGTCCCAGAGATTGCCAGTTATGGGGTAATTTTATTTCATTAATGAAAGTTTGTATTTAACTTTTGTGTCCATTAGAAACCTTACAACATGGTTATGTATTTTTTTTTTAAGATTTATTTATTTGTGCATACAGAACTGGGGTACAGGCCAGAGACTCAGGGCTGGCGAAAGACTTCACCAGAGACAGAGTGGGGAGCAGAACAGGCAGATGGACGAAGTACACTGCTGAGGGGAGCAGCCGGTGGGTCAGGAGAGGTCTGCCACGCCATGTGGTCACCTCCAGGGCAGTCGGGAATCGAACTCATGTGGAAGTGGTTTCAGCTTCTTAGTGCAGTGCTTTAACCCGCTGGCCACCAGGGAGGGCTCATGGTTATGTATTTTAATTTAAGAAAATTTAGAATTGGTCAGAGCATATTTTGCAAGGTCAAGTGCCTACTGTTGCTTTTCTAATGTAATAAAAGGTTATCAGGAAGAACCTGAAAAAAATTCATAGTAGAATTACTATAATGAAGAATTTATGTATTTTAATAACTTTTCAATATAAAACTAATTAATGAACATAATGACTGTGACCAGGTATGCCCTATTCCCAGCTTTTCTAGAATTAAATATGCTTAACTTGAGAGTAAGACTAATCTAAAAATGGTATATCACTTGATTTCATAGTCACTGGTTTCATTCTCTTTCTCAGTCTTAATATCCAGATGTCTTAAAATGAAAAAAATGTTCTTCTCCTGCACCTATAATAAATGATAAACACCCCTCTATACTTCAAATATCTGTGATGAAAAAAGCAGATGAATTCTATGAGAGCACGTCAATTCCTTTGTGGGAAAATGTATTTCAAGGAGTAGTAATATTACTTTATTTTTCTTATCTGCTGACTCCTTTCAGGCATACTTAGGATTTGCTGCTAAAATTCACAGATAGTAAGATACCATGAAGACAGCATTTTCTGCATGTACTCAGAACAGTGGTTTTACTCATACATAAGTCAGAATTTGGTTTATTTGAATTATGTTTGTTTTCTTAGGATGTTAGTACATTACTCCTACTGAAAAGTGCTTTTGGAGTTTTGGGATTTTTTTTTAATTCCAATCTATATTGATGGATATTTTTTAAATTATGTGTTTGAATATTAAGGCAATGTCATATTGCCATTTATAGATGGTCATTAATCTGCAATAGCACTGGCACAGAATTTAGCAGAGAAATGAGGACAAGGAAGATAAGAGAAAGTCAGTAGCTGCCTAAAAGGTAAATACTCAACACTGAGCATTGCAGAGTTCATTTAATTAACTTTAGGTATATTATGTTTCTGTTAGAGACTGATGTATTTTAGGCCAACTACTCAACTCTGTTCCTCCTGTGTGAATGCAACTATAGAAAATACATAAACTGTGTCCCAATAACACTTTACCAAAACTGGCAGTGGGCCAAAATTTTCTGACAACTGGTCTAAGATGGTGAAGATTTAAGAGTTGATCACACATATCTGGAATACAGAGTATCAGAAATAAATTTTTCTTTTTGTTTCTTCATGGTATACTGAGTTATTTGTTTAGTATCTTGTGTCCAGGTAACTCCTCTCTGGTAACACAGGGGCTAACAGCACAGGGGCTAACTCGTAATAGGACTTCAGAACATGTTTGACGATCTAATCCATTTCCTTTTTTCATTCTAAAATTGGCCCATCACCTCATAGGAAACCCAGAAGTTCTGTGAACAAATCCATGCTGCTATCAAGGCAATCATTGCAGTATACTATTCCTTTCCTAAGGATCAGGGTAAGCTTCTGTGTATGCATACATGTTCAATTTATAGGATAAATCTTTGCTGATATGACAGCCAAAGTTCTGAGACTTTTACCTTTCCCTAAATTTGAGCATATGACTTTTCTATAATATGCAGCAAGGATGGTTTATAAGATGTGACCTCCATAAATAAGGCCTTATGCTAAGGTATAGATACTGTGTTCTCATCTCCCCTACCTTGCCTGACTCCAAGGTTTTTAATTTTCATTGGTTTTCCCCTCACTAACTCATTAAGACACCACAGATGCTGACTGGATCTCAGATCCAGACCATCCCCAATCTCCTCCACCTACTCCATAACCTTATTGCTGACCTCCCGTGTAGGTTAAGTGGCCTCCAGCCCTGCCTATAGACTCATGCCTTGATTATAATCACGCCAAAATTATAAATGAACACATGCTTCATGGATCCTCAGGGTACTCACAAATGGTTTAAATTTCAAGTGTTTATTCCACAAATGTCAAGGAACCACTATTCTTAATGAGTGAATACATGATGGTATGAAAAGATTTTGTTCAGATCTCTTTTGGAGAACAGCTGAGGGAATTTTGGGCAGTATAAGAAAATGACATGGAGTTATAAATAATACTTGTGTCTTATATTGGCATTCCAGTTAAAGCATGTGAGTACACATTACCTCAAATTCTGATAGTGCTTAGACTCTCAGGAAAGCAGATGGTACTTTCTGGAAAGAAAACAAGGCAGCTTACTTTTTGGATTTGTCTGTAGGAATTACGCTGAGAAAGCTGATACGGAGTGCCACTCTGGACATCATGGATGGCATGGCTCAGCTTGTGGATGTGCTTGTCATCTCTCCACCTCAGAGGTAGTGATGCCACACATGGGCTTATCAGTTAGTGGGATTGCTTGCTTCAGAAAGGGAAAAAACTCATTTCAACAGAAAAGTTATTGAAATTGAGAATAGTGACTATCAGGAACCTAGGTTAATGATATTTTCTTACTGATTCCTTTCCCTAGCCCTGAGAACAGTGACCTTATTTCCTGCAACAGTGTCTGTGTTGCATGCCAGCAGGTGCCTCGGATACCAAGAGGTAAGTGGGAAGTGGGTTATTGACTCTCTTGACTAAAGCAAGCAGACCACTCATGTCTGGCTTCCAGTTTTGTAGTATGTATGTATTTAATGGAATAGGTATAGTTTATCACCAACAACATAAATTAGGTATTAATGCTTTTCAACAGTCTTTTCCATTCTCATACTTCTAACTTTAGATTCCCCATATACCTTGGCTCTCTTTTATTGAACAAATACTACTTTAAGTAAGCAGTTTTAGGGGACACACAGCTACTGGGTAGAGCCATCTATAGTGGTGATCCAAGAAGACCCTGATGAGAACCTCATGTGACCATTTTATTTCTTGTGAATGACAAAACACTTTTTAGCTTCCTATCTGGGAACCCAGAGGGTGTATGTGAGACTTTTACATTAAGCTTCCACTCTTACTGTCTTTAGCAGTTGCATATTGGTTGCAGACAGGAAATTGTTGGATTTCTCCTCCAATTCTGGTGGTTTTTGTTTTCATTTTTCACTCATAGATAATAAAGCTGCAGCCCTTTTAATGCTAACAAGAAGTGTGGATTTTGTGAAGGATGCACATGAGGAAATGGAACAGGTGAGGAGACTCCATCTTTGCTGGTCATTGGAAGGCAGCTCTGTGACTAGAGGATGAGAATTGATTGACAGATCTGCTGTGCATTGACTTTCATCTCCCATCTTCCACTACATGCCATTGTGTGATTTAGGGACACTTATCTCTGTTCTCTTGAAGAACTAAGCAAGAATAGGGTTTTTGAAATTGTTCAACACTATTGCCATTAATAAAGTAGCTGCTGAGATTTTGGAATGACACAAACATGGTACTGGAAATATAATAGCCCCCCTCTTTTTTTTTTTGACATTCACATATATCATGGTATGTCTCAGGCCATGGAAGAATGTGATCCTTACTCTGGCCTCTTGAATGACACTGACAACAACTTTAACAATGAAGATGATATATGTCCAAACAATCGAGATTTATATTGGTCAGAGGAAGATCATGAACTCCTAATCCCGTGCATTGCACTGGTGAGAGCATCTAAAGCCTGCCTGAAAAAAATCCGCATTTCAGTGGCAGAGAATGGGAAGAAGGACCAGGTGGCCCAGCTGGATGACATTGTGGATATTTCTGATGAGATCAGTCCTAGGTAAGTGTGATCCCACTAGAAACATTTGAGCAACAGCATTCTGAGTTCATTTTTTTTCTGTCATCCCAAGGTTTTTCCCCAGTTTCTTATTTCAAACATTGATAAACCTATAGGAAAGTTGAAAAGTAGTGCAGTGAACAACCATATAGTTCTCATCTAGGTTCACCTAGTACTCACATTTCTCTACTGATAGGTGTGCCATTTTTTTCTCTGAACCACTTGAGAATAATCAGCAGTTCACCCCTATATATTATAGTATGTGTATATGAAATATCATAATTATAATGTTACCTGATATTCAGATTTCCCTAGCTTTCTCTAAAATGTTTTCTGTGACTTTATTAAAAATTCAGGTTTCTTTCAAGGTCTCACATTGCATTTTGGTTGTATCTCTACAGAGATTACTAGAACAATCCCTGTCTTTTTTCACACTGACATTTTTAAAGAATCCAAGTCAGTTTTTTTTTTTTTTTTTT